TTGTTCTGTGCAAGAAACATAGAGAGTTGGTTGAGCACAACTCGCTCAAGTGTCTTTGCAATGAATGGAAGAAGGGATACCGGTCTGTAGTTTTCTAAAAGTGCTAGATTTAGAGAGCGTTTTTTAAGCAGTGGGCTTACCCGAGCCTGCTTAAATGCTGTGGGAAATGTACCAGTGTGAAGAGAGGTGTTGATAATGTGAGTAAGCGAAGGTATGACTGAAGAAGAAATGGCCTGAAGGAGGTGAGTGGGGATAGGATCAAGTGGACAAGTAGTAGGATGATTGGAAAGGATAAGTTTGGAAACGTCCGTCTCCGAGAGTGGAGAGAAGGAGGAGAGAGAGTGTGTATTTGTCGTTATGAAGTTATCATCAGTTTGTGGTGTGGGGAATTGGTCACTGATGGTTCTTGTTTTATTTGTGAAGAAAATTGCAAAGTCATCAGCTGTAAGAGTTGACGAAGGAGGAGGGGGAGGAGGACAGAGAAAAGAAGAGAAAGTTTTGTGAAAAGTGTGCGAGGGTCAGAGCAGTTGTTAATTTTGTTGTGGTAGTATGTTGTTTTAGCAGTGGAGACATTTGCAGAGAAGGAAGAGAGGAGTGACTTATATACACAAAGGTCAGTAGAGTTTTTTTTTTATTTGCGCCCCCTCATCTCTGCAGCCCTGAGCCTAGAGCAATGTTCAAGGAGAACATCGGACAGCCAGGGGGCAGAGGTGGTGCGTGCTGGTCTGGATGAAAAGGGGTGAAAGTTGTCTAAGCAAGATGTTAGAGTGGAGAAAAGATTGTCAGTAGCAGTGTTTGTATCCAGTGCTGAAAACTGAGAGGGTGGAGGAAGTGAGGATGAAACCATCGAGGATAGGCGAGAGGAAGAGAGTGAGCGTAGGTTACGCCGAAAGGTGACCTGCAGAGGAGTGTGTGTTGTGTCCGGAGTCAATCTGAGGTTAGAAGTGATGAGGAAGTGGTCTGAGGTGTGCAACGGTGTAACTAAAGTGTTGTCTGTTGAGCAGTAGCGTGTGTAGATAAGGTTGAATTGGTTACCTGATTTGTGAGTAGCTGTAGTAGACACTCGCTTGCGGTCAAATTAGGCAAACAGAGTGTTGAAATCAGCAGCCTGGGGTTTTTCTAGGTTGATGTTGTTTTTTGATTTGCGCCAATTCCTCTCTGCAGCACTGAGTTTAGAGCGATGTTCACGGAGAACATCGGACAGCCAGGGGGCAGAGGGGGTACCAGAGGAGTACCATCCTCAGGAAAGTTTGAAAGTAACACATCCAACTCCTCCAAGAAGTTGCCCAGTTGACCTGGGGGAAGATAAACGACTACAAAGTAAATTTTAACAGGGTGGGTAATAGTAATTGCATGTGATTCAAATGAACTGTTGCCTGTAAGAGATGGTAGAAGATCAAATTTCCATTCATTTGAGATAAGGAGACCAGTACCTCCACCCATCGCAGATAGCCGGGAGGGTGAGAGTGAGCGTAGGTTACGTCGAAAGGTGACCTGCGGAGGAGTGTGTGCTGTGTCAGGAGTTAGTGTGAGGTAAGAAGTGATGAGGAAGTGGTCTGAAGTGTGCAGTGGAGTAACTAAAGTGTTGTCAGTGGAGCAATAGCGTGTGTAGATGAGGTCCAGTTGGTTACCTGATTTGTAAGTAGCCATAGTAGACACTCACTTGAGATCAAATGAGGCGAGCAGTGTTGAAGTCAGCAGCCTGGGGTTTTTCTGGGTGGATGTTGAAGTCACCGAGCAGTACCAGAGGAGTACCATCCTCAGGAAAGTTTGAAAGTAACACATCCAACTCCTCCAAGAAGTTGCCCAGTTGACCTGGGGGACGATAAACGACTACAAAGTGAATTTTAACAGGGTGGGTAATAGTAATTGCATGTGATTCAAATGAACTGTTGCCAGTAAGACATGGTAGAAGATCAAATTTCCATTAATTTGAGATAAGGAGACCAGTACCTCCACCCCTCCCAATCGTGCGAGGGGTGTGGGAAAAAGTGAAATTAGTGGAGAGGGCTGCAGGAGTGGCAGTGTTCTCAGGTTTGATCCAAGTCTCAGTTAGGGCCATGAGGTTGAGTGAGTATGCAATGAAGAAATAAATTCTGCTTTGTTAACAGCAGACTGGCAGTTCCAGAGACCAATTGGAATAGAGAGTAAAGTAGTAGAGGACAGAGGGTAACGTACGCCATAGTAGAGATTTGAAACCACATAGTGAGTACAATTGTCATAAACAAGTAGATGAGAACAAGCTGTACAAAGAGTAAAGAAAAGTAAAGAAAGGGCAGGAAAGCAATACTCATGTGCCTTGTCGGTGTCCTTGCTCGGTGGAGTCGCGCATGTAGAGTCGATGGTCTTTACATGAGGGCTGCCGCGGTGAACTAACCAATTTTATACTTGCCTGAGTACTCGTTATTGAAGTCAGCTGGCCACGCCTTACTATTTAGCAAATAGAAACTG